TCGCTGAAGTTTAATGTTGCTTTGATTGACTGAGTTGCTACTACCAAATTTTCCATTTTTAGAAATGAATTCCAAAAAAACCCCAAGAGTTATTATGCTTTAAAAAAATCTAAAAAGAGCTTACATGTTCTTGTACGGCTTCCATCCGGCCTGACATTCGCATCTTCCATCACGACAAGTAGCGTGAATATCGCAGGGAGGACATATAGGAGTTGACTAAAAATGATTCATAAAATTTTGGAGATGCTAAGAAGAGATTGTTTATACTGTCTTTGTCATACCCCTGGATAAGGCGCTACAGTAAGCGCAGATGTATCTAGATTTAGTTTGTTCTAAAAATATCATGGGCACATACTTGGTCACGTAGAAACACTAGAAGGAGCCAAGAAGTGCTAGCACACTATATGGTTCATACGCTAAATGTTAAATCACTATTTAATTGATAAAGGAGCTTCCTGATTCAAGACACGCAAGATAGTAGCTTAAAGGAACTCGAATCAGTCGGAAATTCCCCATTTAAAGCTTAAAGGAAAAATTTTGTGCTTCCTGTCTCCCAAGCAAACCAACAATTAGTATTTGAATTTTATTTTATTTCATTTATTTTATTTCAGTTTGAACGCATGAGAATTTGAAAATGAAGGAAGACCTTTTGCTTACCGGTTTAATTTTTGCTGGTTTGAATTCTGCAATTTTCACAGTAGCAGGAGCCTCGGTAGTGGTACTGGTCGATGAAGTTGTCGTAGCTGAGGTCTGGAAAAATTCCAAAATTTGCTAAGGTGATCCTACACTACTCACTACCATACCGTAATAGGTCTCCTTGTTGTCGATATTGTTGTAGTTGTAGACTGTGTTGTTGACACAAACCGATTCCTAAGTAATGGCGGCTTTACGGCTGCGGTAGTTCGACCGAAGGAGGGTTGAACCGGTACAATTTCAACAGGGATCTTCTCTTCGGAGTTTAAAACGGGTTTCGAACCTTAAAAATTTACTCAACCTGTAGGTATGGATGAATCAAAGAAAAAATAATTTGCTTTACCCTTGCATCTCTTGTTCGCCTCATCGTATTCGAAGCAAATGCAAAGGTAGGATCCTGGAGTGTTCAG